TTTTAATATTTATTTTTTAGTTCTCGGCGGACACAACATCTTTGTTGGTATGTGGAGCTGAGGATCGAACCCGGGCCGCACGCATGCCAGGCGAGCGCGCCACCGCTTGAGCCACATCCCCAGCCCCAATAAAAGTTATTTTTAATTGTTAATTATTTGAGTAGATGTGTGTGTGCGTGTGTGGTGCTGGGGATTGAACCCAGGGACTTGTACATGTGAGGCAAGCACTCTACCAATTGAGCTATATCCCTAGCCCAGGATTTATGTTTTTATAAGAGTCTATATCTAATTCATATTTCTATTTTTTTTAAAATGTAGGTTGCTTACTGCATAACTATATAAAGCATGGACATTAGTGAATTCTTTGAAAATTTTGGTTCAACAATTAAAAATGCATAGGTGATATGCTGAGATCCTATTAGATCACTCTCTAGGTTAACTACTTAACCTACCTTTCCAGTTTTACATTGGACATCTTTGCCTGTCTTTGACCTGTGTGACTTGTGAGAATCATAGCTACTTTGTTTCCTTTGCCCCTACTTATATAATAGGAAAGTGTTGAAGATGCTTGTTTTATATAATCATTTAGTATAATATTTAATATGTTTTTCTTTGCATTATCAATTAACAGGATACAAACAGTTGGATATTTGGCTGCATAAACAGCACTTCTATGTGGTAAGTCTTGAACCTATGCCCTTCATTGTGCATATTTGTCAACATAGGCAAATTCAGAAGTCACATTTTTGGAATAGCTTTATATATTCTTATACTCATTTTCATTCTGTATTAAATCATAGTATCGATTTTTAAATGAAAAGTAAGAGCTGTGACTATACTAGTAGTTTTTGTACACATTGAAAGTCATTGTTAGGAAAAAGTGTTTTTGTTGCCAGGGGAACTATGTGGACAAGAGTTTAGTGGAATAGACTTATTAGACTTCAGTTATAACTCTTAGGTTTGTAGATGGTATTCTTTTCCTCTGAAATTAAATTTATAAAACTTTAATATAGTTGTTCTTTAATTATATTTTTGCATTTATTTCAAAGCCGGCAAGGAGTTGATTTATCATGGAAAGCTGAACTTCTGCCAACAATTAAGGTAAATTATAGCTTTACAGTTTTAATATTCAGGTGAAAAGATACTTGAGCCTATAGACATTTTAAAATATACTTTTATTAATTTAATTATTAAGTAAACATGAAATTGCTAACTACATTTTAGAAATATTTTCTTTAGAAGTCTATGTGATGAGAAACAACATGAAATTAATATTAAAGGCTGGGGTGCAGCTCATTGGAGCATACATGAGGCCCTGGGTTCAGTGCCTAACCCTTCAAAAAAGAAAAGAAACTTAGAAGTTAAAACAGTATTCCAAGTCTCTATATGTTACAGCATCATGCCAAAGAATTAGATAGATTTTTAATATTAAATATGAGTGTTTATTTAAATGATCTGTCTTAAACTACAAACTGATTAATGTATTATACTCAGCATTTCATTTTGGGAGGAAGTACCTATAGTAGGGAAGTGGGCATTCCAAAGAAACTTGAAATAATTTACCAGATAACTTCCTTTTAACATTGTGATTACCCACTTGGATAATTTACCTTTATCTAGAATTCTCCAGGATAATAAATCACAACAGAGATTTACTTAGTAACTGTTAGTGATTTCCTTAAGTATATTGATAGGTTAGTAAGTGTATTTTTAAAGGTTTATTTGTATATTCTCAAAATGTATTAATGAAAAGGCAAAATAATCCTAAAATTTGATGAGAATGTTATTTCCAACTTGTATTTATTATAACTGATAATATTATGCTAGAATAGATAGTAAAGTCTTCGAATAAATCTGTACTTTAAAAATAAAACATATTTTCCTAATGAGTGCTAGTCTCATAGGCTTAGAAATGAAATCAATCTGGTTGGTCCCAGTTATCTTCTAATTAATAACAATTAAGTTACTTTTGCTTAGGAATGTTTATACGTATTTGTCTATGTAGTTTGTACTGAAGAGAGAAACTTTAACAGAGAGGAATGATGGTAGAAAACATAATTGCAAATCATTTACACTTGAATGGTTGCAATTTTTTTGTCACCTTGTTCAGTCTTTACTTTGTGCATGTTCATTCATGAGATGGATATTACTTATATTTCTATTATTTAATTTCCCTACAGATTGTAAGGAAGTAATTTGACTCATGTACATTTTTAAGATCACTCACTGGTTCAAGCCTAATCTTCCAGGAAGGCTCAGAACAACAAAAGTATTAGGATATATTTAATGATCATTATTCATAAGGTTTATTAAATGTTTCCTTGAATTCCAATTTAGATATTCTATCCATATTATAATGTAAGAGTTAGGAACAAACCAATAAAAACTTTATAAAATGTACTTTGCTCCTGTAGTTTAAAATTATAAAATGCTAATACTGTTTTTTTAGATTTCCAAAGATTGAACAATGTGTTCATCAAAAGCTAGGCCCCTGTGCCATTTGTTATGAATTTAAAAAACAACTGGGTGAACATCAGGTGAATAAGCTATTCCAGCAGCTTGCTTTTTGTAGAGAATGCTAGAAGAGAGAAGTTAGAAAACAAAGATTATAATATTCTACAGTTGGGCTGGAAATATCCCTCAGTTGGTAGAGTGCTTGCCTTGCATTCACAAGGCCCTAGGTTTGATCCTCAGCACCAAAAAATAAAATAAAATAATAATAATAATAATATTAATAATACTCTACAATCAGGCATTCTCAAATTTAAAAGGTTATAATTATTAGATATAAACTTTTAATGAAAATCAATATTTAATATAATGTGAGTTAACTGTTTGTAAGTAGCAAAAAATTATTTTGCCATAAGGTTAAAGGAGTGATTAGAGTGAAAACTTCGTAGGTTTTATTCATGCTAATATTATATTTAAAAAGCTAATGTCAGATGAGAATTGTATCAGTTTTAGGCATCTCCACTGACTAAACTGTGAAAAAGTAGATGGAATCCTTCAACGAAGCACTTCAAGATTCAAAACTTTGCCATTGTTTGAAATAAATACTTAGAAGCTATTAGAGTAAATAGCCACACAAAAATATTCAGGTACTTCCTAATTAATTATCTACCATTTGTCTGGTGGGATGTAACTGATTTATGTGGTCCTTTAATTATAACACATGGGTATGGCCAGAGACTGCTAAGTTAGGCTTTTTGTCAGGTTGTTAGAGGGCTATTCAACTCACTGACAATTTTTTAGCTTCAGCACCTCTGTCCTACTTGGCCACATTAATGTTTCTAAAAACAGGTGGAAAAAATTTAACTTCTATAGGAATTTCTTAATACATCCCACATCTATTTCCAGGAGAAAAACTTTACTGGGAAAAATAAGAGACCCAGCATAGCTAAAGCAATCCCTAGCAAGAACAGTGAAGCAGGTGGCATCATTATTACCAGACCTTAAACTATACTACAGAGCAATAGTAACAAAAGCAGCATGGTATTGGCAACAAAATAGACTTGTAGTCCAATGGTACAAAACCGAGAACAGAGAGACAGACACACATAATTACAGTGATCTTACATTAGACAAAGGCATCAAAAACATATGTGGGAGAAAAGATTGCCTCTTCAACAAAGGTGCTAGGAAAACTGGAAATCCATATGTAACAAAGTGAAATTAAGCCATTATCTCTCACCATGCTAAATTGTGGAACCAACCTTCAGTAGATGAATGGATAACGAAAATGTGGTTCATACACACAATGGAATATTATTCAGCATTAAAAGAGAATAAAATCGTGGCATTTGCAGGTAAATGTATGGAGTTGGAGAATATTATGCTAAGTGAAGTAAGCTGATCCCAGAAAAACTAAAGGCTGAATGTTTTCTCTGCGATAAGGATGCTGATTCATAATGGGGATGTGGGTGCAGTGTAGAAGCAATAGATGAACTTTTAGATAGGGCAAAGGGGAGGGAGGGGAAGGAAGTGGAGGATGGGGCTAGGAAAGATGGTGGAATGAGACAGACATCAATACCTAAGTACATGTATGAAAACATGAATGGTGTGGCTCTACTTTGTGTGCAACCAGAGACATGAAAAATTGTGCTCTATTTGTGTAATATGAATTGAATTGCATTCTGCTGTCATATACATAACAAATTAGAATAAATAAAATTTAAAAAAACTATTGGGAGGCTTTTATTTTATTAAATAGATCAATCTCCTACTTATTTATTCCTCAAAACATGGATGATAGAATCTTTCCTTTGAGAAATAATTATTTCCTTAAGGGGGGTACATTATTAGCTATATTGTGTGTTTGTTATTTTTTAAATAAATCTCAGGGCATGATGTTTATCTATACCATTTATCTGCAACTCTTTACTACTTAAACTCAGAATCATTTGAGATTAAAATTATAAAAGTTTTCCATCATACCTGTCATCCATTCATCAACTACTCAATGTTCTTCGTCATGTACTACCAAAACATAGAAATAATGCTGTATTGCCAACTGTAACAAATAGCCAGATTACAAAAAATATACCAATGCTGAAAATAATGATATAAAATACAGTGTATATAGTGCATTATAAAGTAATGTTTTTTAGGTGCCATTTGTTTTATGTGAAGGGATATGTCAAGGAATATTTTGAGAAGTTCATATTTAACATAATTATTAGGAATCTGATTTTCTGTAAATTTAATTATTTACCTGAAAGTGTAAACATGGGCATATTATGAAGTCTGGAACATAAATTTGAAGTGTGTGCGTGGGGCCGGGGCTGGGAATTGAATCCAGGGATCTCTTACATATGCTAAGCACACAGTCTATGAAATGTCTTTTTTAATAACTAATTGAGAAACAAGTGTTTGTAATTTATCTTTCTTTTAGCATATTTTAATCTTTGTCTAAGAAATAAAAGCAGCTTTTTTATCTTTTTTTCAGTCTCTGACGTTAAGACTTCAAGACTATCCATCTTTGTCTCATCTTGTTGTTTATGTACCATCTATTCATGGAAGTAAGGTAACAAGTGGATCAAGGTTGTTATCAGAATGTTTGGGGCTATCCATGCTGAATTTTCAATTTATTTTTTGATGAATTCTTATTATAGGGGTATCTAAAACAATGATGCTTCACTTCAGACTGTTAATTTATTAGTATAATCTGCTCCAACTTGAACTAAGCAGAATAAATTCAAGTCCCTTTGTTCCAAGTGAGAACTAGTTCCCATTTATCTATCAGTCTTTGAAAATCTGTTGTTTATTAGATACCCTCATATTCAAGACTAATAAGGGCTGGGTGCACACCTTTAATCCCTGCATCTCAGGAGGCTGAGGCAGGAGGATTGTGAGTTCTAAGCCAGCCTCAGCCACTTGGCAAGGTCTCAAGCAACTCAGCGAGACCCTGTCTCTAAATAAAACATAGAAAAAGGGCTGGGGATGTGGCTCAGTGGTTAAGCACCCTGGGCTCAATCCCTGGTACCAAAACAAAAGACTAACAAGAATCATAGGAAATACACAAATGACACTCATTTGTCACCCTCCTAGGTAGGGGAGCAGTGAGAAAAAAGAAATATACAAGTATATATAATACAAATTAGAATATAGCAAGTACATGAAAAGCATAAAAGGAAGAGAGATCTGGTTGAAGGAATCAATAGTGACTTTAAGTCAAGAATGGTGGTACATACCTCTAATCCCAGCAACTCAGAAGGCTGAGGCAGGAGGATTGCAGTTTCCAAGCCAGCTTCAGCAACTTAGCAAGACCCTAAGCAACTTAGTGAGACTCTGTCTCAAAATAATAATATGAATAAATAGGACTGGAGATTTAGCTCAGTGGTAAAATGCCACTGTTTTCAATCCCCAGTAAAGAAAAAATAAATGGCTTTATATTGGAGTGATATTTAAAATTTCCTAAAAGGATAGTTAGAATTTTTATAGGTCGAGTGAACGTTCTAGCCCTATGTTGTCAATTAAAAACAAAAAAAAAAATCACTAGCATATGTGGCTATTTAAACATAAACTAATTAAAATTAAATGCAATTTAAAATTTAGTTCCTTAGTTGTACTAGCCATATTCCAGAAACTCATCATTGTGAAAAATTGTAATGGCATAGGAACAGTGAAAACAAAAAGCACAGAAATGTGAAAGCATGGTATGTATTTGGGATACAGTGAATGAGTATATAATTTTAAAAGGATGGCCACCAGGGGTAGAGTAACAATGGGAGAAAAGTCTGGAAAAGTAGTTCTTGGTATTGTAGAGGCTTTGTTTGGAATTCAGGACTTTGGAATTCAGAAGTCAGTAGGAAGCTCTAAGCCTTTTTACCACAGTAGTAATGTTATCAGAGATAATTCATTTTGGAAGATTAATCTATTTATGGCAGAGGATGGATCAGAAATAAGAAGACTAGGCACATCATAGGTTTATTTGAGGCTGGGGTTGTGTGACTCTGTGGTAGAGCGCTTGCCTGGCACATGTAAGGCACTGGGTTTAATCCTCAGCACCACTAAACAAACAGAAAAACAAACCTACAAACAATTAAATAAATAAAGTTATTGTGTCCATCTACAACTAAAAAAATACTTTTTGAAAATGAAAGAAGGTGGTCTGGGGTTGTGGCTCAGCGTTAAAGCGCTCGCCTAGCATGTGCGAGGCCCTGGGTTTGATCCTCAGCACCACATAAAAATAAAATAAATAAAATAAAGGTATTGTGTCCAACTACAACTAAAAAATAAATATTAAAAAAAGAAAGAAGTTATATGAGCTGTACTAGGGAAGTGAGTGTAAATAAAAGGATGTTGACTTTGAGACAATTAGTGGGGAGGAAAGAAGGTAAGAGAGCTCCCTGCTCTCCTCTTTGCCCATTTAACCTAGCAGATTTATCCTTCAAGATCCAACCTAAGGGTTCCCTCTTCCTTTTCCAGACTCCCCCAATAATGTTTTACTTACTTCCCTCATACTCTGTTTATAACTTCTTTGAATAATTTATAACATTAAATTATAATTTTCATGTCCTTATTGCCATTACCATATTGTAAACTTTGAGGGAAACAACCAGATAAGTTTTATTCTACTTTGTATTCTCAACTTTTAATGACTACCTCATAGAGGTCCCTAAAAAATATTTCTTGAATGAGAAAATTAATGAGATTATAGATAAATAATAAGGAAATTTAAAAGAAATAGGGAAATGAAAAGGGGGATATAGTTGGGAGTCATTTCAAAGACTGAGTCTCACAAGTACCTTATAATGGATTCATTGTTTTGTTTTGCTTAGCTCAAATGAGAGGTAATTCAACATCTTCAATACTAAAAGCTCTCTTTAGGGGGTTTTCTACCAGGTAAGTTGGTTTTGAATGAATCTAGCATCTTTCCCAAACTTTGAAAGGTCCTCCCTGATTATGACAAGAAATTTATTAGTCTTTCTGCAAATGTACAGTCTTTGCAGCCTAATAAATTTGTAATATGTCTTAGTGCTCTTTGGAAAGTGACACTGCTAAATCTATTGTTGCACTACCTTGTCTCACTAAGATGATAACTTATCTCTTTCATAATGTTTACATGTCTATAAGCATTATCTTCAGAAGATGACACATGTTTAAATGAGCAGGGTGAAAAAGTTTTAAGTTGATGCATTTCTTAATGTTTTTTGAAAATATAGATATGCAATTATCTGCATTTTTAATGACAGAAAACAAAATAATTAATCCTATTAGAGAGATGTTTAGAGACCTTTTAATTCTCTTTCTTGGATAAGGATTTATTCCATTAGGCAACACTAAAGGTATAGCAAAAATTTTAAAGCAATAATAAAACTTATGGGTTTTTAAAATTTTTATTATTAGTTGTTCAAAACATTACATAGCTCTTGACATATCATATTTCATACATTCAATTCAAGTGGGTTATGAACTCCCATTTTTACCCCCTATACAGATTGCAGAAACACATCGGTTACACATCCACTTTTTTACATATTGCCATACTAGTGTCTGTCATGTTCTGTTGCCTTTCCTATCCTCTACTATCCCCCTCCTCTCCCCTCCCCTCCCCTCCCATCTTCTCTCTCTACCCCATCTACTGTAATTCATTTCTCTCCCTTGTTTTTTTCCCTTTCCCCTCATTTCCTCTTATATGTAATTTTGTATAACCATGAGGGTCTCCTTCCATTTCCATGCAATTTCCCTTCTCTCTCCCTTTCCCTCCCACCTCTCATCCCTGTTTAATGTTAATCTTCTTCTCATGCTCTTCCTCCCTGCTCTGTTCTTAGTTGCTCTCCTTATATCAAAGAAGACATTTGGCATTTGTTTATTAGGGATTGACTAGCTTCACTTAGCATAATCTGCTCTAATACCATCCATTTCCCTGCAAATTCCATGATTTTGTCATTTTTAGTGCAGAGTAATACTCCATTGTGTATAAATGCCACATTTTTTTTTATCCATCCATCTATTGAAGGGCATCTAGGTTGGTTCCACAGTCTAGCTATTGTGAATTGTGCTGCTATGAACATCGATGTAGCAGTATCCCTATAGCATGCTCTTTTAAGGTCTGTCAAAGTGATTGAAATTGCATATAAAGGGGGCTGGAGCTGTGGCTCAGCAGTAGTGCACTTGCCTAGCATTTGTGAGGTACTGGGTTTGATTCTCAGCACCACATATAAATAAATAAATAAACAAACAAACAAACAAACAAACAAATAAATAAATAAAGGTCTATCAACAACTAAAAACATGTAAAAACAGAAAGAAATTGCATATAAAAACTATTTCCTTGTCTTGGGTAATGACTCACCAAAAGCACTTTGAAAAAACATAATGAATATAATCCTGTTCAATAAATGACTTCTGTAGTCTTTTAACAACCGTTTTCTATAGTGAAAATGTCGTTGTTCTTTGCCTTATGAGAAATTAAAAACAAAGGACCTTAACAAGCTTTCCCTTTTTTCCCCACATATGTTCTATAGTTTAATAGCAGGTTCTCTCATCTGCTTTTCACTTTCAGGAATGACCAAATCTACTGAAGAGGCAAACAAAAGACATTGCTTCAACCATCCAAGGTTTAGTTGTCTGATCCCACAGGTGTTAATTTTTTCTTCAGTTCCTGTGATCAAAATAATTTGATTGAATTGTGAGGATTATTTTAATGATCTTGCATTGTTTGATTTTATTTTTTTGAGCTGGAGTGTCATTAACCAGGCTGGTCAGATCTCCTGACCTCAGTTGATCCGCCACAGCCTCCCCAGTTCTGGGATCACAGGCCTGCACCTCCATGCCTAGCTGAACTTGAGCTTTTACCAGAAACATTTCCTCCTACAGATAACTGAGAACAAAGTTTCTTAACTCCATGTTAGAAATGTTATAAAAAAGAAATGTTGTTCTTACAAAAATGATAATGGTGCAGATGTTAAACTTTAAGTTTCCTTTTTTGAAAAACGTTTCTTTTTTGTAAGCCACAGTAAGCCTTTTTCTGTCTACTATAATCTAAATAATCCATGAATGGCAGTAAGTCTCCAAAAGCCTTGTATAGTCTAATTAGACAAAAAACACATGATAAAGGAAGGATTTTTTTTTTTAAATGTAACAAAATTTCATTTTCCTTTTAACTATAAACTTATTCAGGCATGTATTTGAATCCTTAATATTGAATTATGAATCTTTGTTTCATCTTTTAATGACCTTCTGCAAATACTTATAATACAAATTATAAGAAAACTTTGCTATGAATCTATTGTTATAGAAATGATCCACTAATAATTTTCATTAACTTATTTAATCAAGTTAAACTTGTTTATCAAGTTTTCACAGTATGGCATCTCTCCTTGAGGAATTCTTGACACCTAAGTAGAGATTATTATATTTAATCACTGATACTTTCTCCAAAGCTGAGATTATAATATTATAGTCTTCTACTTCCCACTCAAACATCAAAGCATTTCACTATAAGTTTAATTCTACTTTACTGATAAATCAATTATTTATATTTCAGTTTGTTGTAGATTGTGAATTCTTTAAAAAAGAGACAAGATCCATACAGCTTCCTGTAACTCATCTTTTTTCCTTTGGTAAGTACTTTGTTTTTGGAACTTAGAAGAATGGCTTTAATTTTTTTTACTATATATATTTTTAGTTGTAAGTGGACGTAATACCTTTATTTTATTTGTGAGGATCGAACCCAGTACCCCAAATGCGCCAGGCAAGCACTGTGCCACTGAGCCATAACTCCAGCCCAAGAATTGCTTTAATTTTAACAGAGTGCTGATTTAGTTTGCCATTTCATTGCAATAAAGCAGAGCCTACTAACATTAAATATAATATTTCTAGTATATTTCTTGAGATAACCATATGATGTGGTTCCGTGGTTTGATTCTCATTTAATACTGGGCCCACAGTCATCTTATGATAAGAGTCAATTTTAAAAGACAAATTTTCATAATCATATATACTTGTAGGGGTGTGTGTGTATGTTTCCTTATGTGAAATTTATACTGAATACTTGCCTTTTAAATATATATATATTTAGTTGTATATGTACATAATACCTTTATATATACACATACCTATATATATATATGTACACACACACATATATTTACCTATATAAATATACACATACCTATATAAATATACACAAATATTTACCTATGTATACACACACACACACACACACACACACACACATATATATATATTCAGTTGTATATGGACACAATACCTTTGTTTTATTTATTTATTTTTTTATATGGTGCTGAGGATCGAACCCAGTGCCTTATACATGCTAGGCAAGTGCTTGAGCCACAACACCAGCCCCCCCCCTGCCCCCGGCCTTTTTATAACATTTTTATTAAAGGGTAAAAATTGCTGTATACCTTATGAAGATTTCAAGAATTCTCTGTTCTTTTAAGCTTTGTGTTGAAATAATTTTATAGAAAAGTTAGAAAAGAGTACAGAGGTCCTTTCCATACTTCACCCACCTTTCCCTAATCTTGACTTCTTTTGTAAAAATAGCAGTTTTTAAAACTAAGAAATCAGTATTTGTGCAATAATATAAACTAAAGTGCAGGCTTTATTTGTTCTTTACTCAGTTTTACTACTGATGTCTTCCCTTTCCCTTTGCTCATGTTGCATTCTGCTGTCATGTCTCCTTAGTCTCCCATAATAATATGTGACAGTTTCTTTGTCTTTCCTTGTCTTACTTAACTTCAAAAACCTTTGAAGAATACTAGTCAATTATTTTGTAGAATATACTTCACTTTGGATTTGTCTAATGCTTTCTTATTATTAGATTGAGGTTATGCATTTTTGCCAAGAATTCCACAGATGTGATGTGTATTTCTCAGTGCATCACATCAGGATATGTGACATTAATATATATAATTACTAGTGATATTAACCTTGATTTCTTGGTTAAGGTGGTACCTGCCACATTTCTCTACTTGCAGTTATGGCTTTTTATGTTGTAATTAATAAATATTTGGGGGAAGTGCTTAGAGAATGTGTAATTATCCTGTTTCCTTCAAAATAACTCACCAATTTTAGCATCCATTGGTTCATCTAGACTTTAGTAAATATTACTGATAGTCTACAGAAATACAGAATTTAGGGGCTGGGGATGTGGCTTAAGTGGTAGCGTGCTCACCTGGCATGCGTGCGGCTGGAGTTCGACCCTCAGCACCACATACAAAGATGTTGTGTCCGCCGAGAACTAAAAAATAAATATTAAAAAAATTCTCTCTCTCTTTAAAAAAAAAAGAAAGAAATACAGAATTTATTAAATTCTTCTTGAGGTATAGAGTCGTCCCTTCTCTCCCACGTACTTGTTCAGTTTTTTATTTATGACAGTATAACCTCATGAATCTATCTTATTCATTGGTCTATTTATAGTCCAATATCATTGTATATTGTTCTACTCAAGTTCAGTTTTGGATATTAGGAACTTTTTTTAGATTAAAAAATCTGTTACTTAAGATAGGAAACTTACCATAAGGTTTTTATTCCTCTTTCCCTACATGTTCTTTTTTTTTTTTTTTTTTTTTTTTTGCGGGGGGGAGGATACAAAAATTCTCAGAAAAATACAGAAATGACTACTCTAAATTACCTGTTTTTAAAGATACCAAGCTTATAAAATAAAACATCTGCAAAGAAAGCTTACCTTTCTGAAATTAGAAACAAGTACTTGACTAAAAAAGCACATTGATATAATTAAAAGTTATTATAAATACTGTGTTTTGTCCAGCGTTTATTGTGGGAGGTTTGGATTTTTTAGGAGTTGAATCCTCCATACCAGAAGTGAGAACCTATTATCTAAATTGTTTTCATTTTTTATTATTATTTAAGCAGTCAGTATATTTTCAAAATTTCTTTAGTACTCTAACACTACTTTTAATTCAACAGGACTATCTTCAAGGAAAGTGGTATTAAATACAAGTGGCCTATACTATAATATAGAGCTTCTGAACTTTGGACAGGTAATTATCCTGACTACAACAACAAGGAGTTGATTTTACTTTACCATTTAGTTAAACAAACAAATAAACTTTTGCTTTTTGTTTTTGTGGTCAAACTCTATTAGATATACCAAGCTTTTAAAATCAACGTGGTAAGCAAGTGCTCAGGAGTCAGAGGTAAATGTATTTTCTGAAAAATATGTAGAAAATAGTATTGTCAATTGAAGAATCAATAAGTCTTCACTTGAATCTTCTGTCATACTTTTTCACGTCTGTTTTTTCATGTATTTTTATATGACATAAAAAAGTAATAAAAAAGATGCTTATATTTCCCAAGAGTTTAGCATAGACCCTTTCTTAAAATTATCTTCATGTTTCAGTATGTCTTTATTTCTTATTATAGTAGTAATTCAGATTTGGCTGTTTAATATTTTCCAGTTTCTTAGTATTACCTATATACTTTTAATACCTTTTGTAAGCCTTAAAGAAAGCATTTAAGAATTCATAATTTCTTATGCTGTATAACCATTACTGATTTTTTTTTTGTTTTAAAATGGACAGTTGTGTAATTAGTTTGGTATTAAGTAGCTTATGTAAAAGTTAAGGTAACATGGTGAATAATACATCTTTCCTTTGTGTTTTAACAGAAGAAATAACTAGTATCTATAAACTTCATATTCCCTGGTCTTATGAAGATTCACTAACCATTGCACAGTATGTAGAATTTACTTTAAACTTTGGTGTTTTTGAATAAAATAGATACTCTGTGTAGTTTAGTTTTTTTAATTATATGAATTATGAAAGGAAAATGTAAAATATTTATAGCCTTTATGTAGCATCGTGCCCACAATTTAGTTATATCAATTGTATCTATTTATATATCTAATTTAATAAATTGTCTTATTAAATGACATAGAACTTAAACCTCACTTGCTTAAAACTTTAACACCTATCTTTGCACACTCCTCCAACTCGTGAGTCCTAGAGAGGGAGTGTTCAAACAATTCTAATGTAACTGAAAAAGTGTTCATCTGTAATAGTGTGTCTGTCTTCTGGCTTCCTCTACATTATTTCATTGTATTGTGGGGAGGATAGACTTAGCCATGGCTAAGTCAGTTTTTACCAGCATGTTGTACTTGAGTATTGATATTTAAGTTATCTCTTCAGGGTTCCATCTAACACAGAAATTTCTCTGAAACTTCATATTGCTCAACCAGAAAATGACAGCCATGTGGCATTGTTAAAAATGTACACATCATCAGATTGCCAGTATGAGGTAAGTTGCATATATTTATAATCTTTAAGATTTAGTTATAGAATAAGGTAGAAGTTGCAGATACATGGTAGGGTGGAAGTGAATAAAAATAAGATATAGACATTTGAAATATTTTAATATTTTTCCTGTTTGTAATACTTCAGTATTTCCTTATCTGGATCATTTGAAAATGTATGCATCTTAATAAGTAATAGAAATAAAACAAAAATCGAAACTGCAGATTAACCTTTTAAATTTGAAAGCCCAAAATCCAAACTCTTGTAAATTGAATATCAACTAAAATTGGAAGCTGACATGGCTTTAGTACAGTAATTTATGTAATATTTATTGGTTTTTATTTCTACCAGAATAGCTTAAGGATCTTCTTTTCATTTATTTAAGCTCTGTTAAGTCCATTAATATGTGCAATTTAGTACCTATTGTGTTTGTTTTATTACCAAAGATCACTGTCTCCTAAAAGAAGGAACAAAGAATATTTTATTTATTTATGGATTCATGAACTAAGAGTCCTCTATATCAGAACATACGAGGTTCCAAGGATTTCACATTTAAGTGGTTAAAATACACATTTTAATGGTAGTGACATTACAGGTTTCTGGTACATAGCTTAATTCTGCTCAGCTTCAAGCTTTAAGTTGTTGAATTCTTTATTAGAACTTTCTTAGGGTGAGCTAGAATACGCATTGACAAATTAATAGAATCTGTTCCTATAACCAAGTTTTATTTGGACCTGTATTATGAATTATTTTATATTTCATAGAATTTATGAATGCTTTGATACCTGACTTTTCTAACAATAAAGGGTCTTTGCTATATTTTTAAACTTGCACGTTCATGTTTCTAATACTAAAGTGATAGTAAGAGTTGTGTTGTCAGTTTGGATCCAAATACTGCATGCTCCATGTTTTTAACCAAATTGCGTATTTCCACAAAGGTCAGATGCAGACAAAACATTCATAATTTCCCTAACAAAGATTTATCTCCTTTTCACAGACTTCTTAATTTTTCTTTATAAAGGATTATTTTTTTTCTTTAAAAAGGTAGAATTATTAAGGATGAATTTTTTTTACTTATGGTAGGATTATTAAGGATGAATTTATTTTTCAAATATTATTTTGGCTTAAATTCTTTTAATTAGCATGATCTATTAATAACATTCTAGTTAATTAAATATTCCAGTTGTAAACAGTTACCATATATACTAAAGCATTGCTGTAATTGTTGAAGAATTAGAATACTGGAAAATATACTCAATGATGAAACTACATTTTGTCTAATTTAAACGTGGTGCAGAAGATTCTTGAAGATCTCTTATGCCTTTAGGTTTATTATTATAGGAATTATTATACCTAGAGATGTGTAGAAGTACATAGTTTAATAAAATTGAACTAGAAAAATCTAGGGTAAATAACCTCTTTTTAAATGATTGTTTTAAACTAGGTGACAGTTAAGACATCCTTTTCACAAATACTTGGACAGGTAAGAGAGATTTTCATTGCATAATTATTTATTGTCTTGTGAATAGATACCAGAAAGAAAGGATTATAGTCTTTTTCTATAAAATCAGTAATTTAACAGATCACGATCTCTGGCTGCTCCCACTGCTATAGCTACTTGTTTCTTCTTTCTCCTTTTTTCTTCATTCTTCATTCTTCCAATTTAATAAAATCTAAAAACCATTCTTGACCTATAGGCCATGGTTGGCCAACTCTTACTTTAAGGTGATCCCTTCTTATTTGATCCATCCTAAAAATAAGAGCTGTTACCTGATTCTCAATATATTTGCCTAAATGAATGTCATATTAAGACCTTCATATTTATCATACTACACTATAATTCATGACACAATAAGATAGGGTTTGTCATGTAAGTGAACATTTTCAAAGAACTTTTTATATTGTGAATGCTATTATAATGTAAAGGCTAAGAATAAATTTTATTCAAGATAAATGTTAAAATTAATCTGCAAATAATGTTACAAAAATAATTCAGCATTAGAACTATAGATATTATTATTCAATATCATTATAATTTTCAGAATTATGTAACCTGGAAATAAATACACTAATATTGATTAGACAGGAAAATTATATAATTTCAAAATTCAGTAAAATTTTATTTAGCTTTTATTTTTTGATTGGTTATATTTTGCTATCCAAGCATAGTAGAATTTTTTCTTTCTTTACTTTAAGTTATAATACTGCAATTGTAAAACTCACAAATCAAAATTAAATTAGAAACATTTTATGTGCATTATCTCATTTGTTCCTTATAATCACTTAGAGCTATATTATGACTATTATTAAATTTGTGAACATAATAAAATTCTGAGTAATTATATTAAAAAATTGTGTGCTAAATTATAAAGGGAACATCAAATGTTAGTATAAGTTGGAAAATACCATCATGGGTAGTTGATATTCTAAAAAGTTAAAAGGCATTAAGAAAAATTTTGCAGGGCTGAGGTTGTAGTTCAGTGGTAGAGGACTCGCCTAGCACATGTGAGGCCCTGGGTTCAATCCTCAGCACCATATAAAAATAAGTAAGTAAAATAAAGGTATTGTGTCCATCTACAACTAAAAAATAAATATTTTTTTAAAATAAAAATTTTGCTTGTGATAGAGGAGATGAGTTCATGCTATTATTTTTTTAGCATGTCCAAAAGTCATGTTATTGTACACAGTGGTTTATGGTGAAGATACTACATGCTCTCTTATCCTTATCATCTCTGTGGCCCATAATCCAAATTAGTGACATGAAAAGTCAAATTAGCTTGGTATGCTGCAACTAAGCATAATTGTATACCAAAAAAAGACAGACTAATATTTTTGTTTAGATGTGGAAATCTTTCTAAAGAGCAAGGAAGCACTGGTGTTACAAGATCAGAGGAGGGTACTTTTAAAGTGTCAAAGAATAGCAATTGAATCCTAAAATTATTGAAAAATATAGCCTGTTCTTCTTTATTGCTTGTTTAAGATTTCAGTTTGTGGGTGGTAAAAGAACAAATTTAAGTTGTCTAATATGTCTTACTCATTTTTTTAAAACAATGCATATTATTTAAAAACAATGTTGCTGATATAGTCACAGGAAACTGAGCAAAAGGAGTAAATAGAAACCACTTAAGAGAATATTTAGCCTTTAAATAAATTTTTCACAAAATTGTTTCTTTCTAGAAAAAGAGGAAAATGTGTTCATGTTCTTTAATCTAGTTTTAGGAAAAAAGAGGACAAAAAAGTAAATTGAAAGTTATTTTCCTGAGTAAATTTCATAAATTCTAGTAAATTATTTCAATATTCAGATATTAAGAGAAACTGAAATTTGGAAATTTTTTAGGTGAAATCTTTAAAATTTTTTCAGTGTTGTTATCTTATTCAAAGTTTAAAGAAATATTGTGCTAAATACTAAGCCAAATTAAGCAAGTCTTACAGTTTGATTATAGCCCATGGAGGCCAGTTTATGGTTGTTGATTTAGTCATACCTTGTATCCAAAGCCCAAGACAATAAATACTTAATACTTATAACAATGTCCCTTTGTCAGTAAGAGAAATTTTATGTTTAATATATAAATATTAACATAATACTCTGTGTAAGATCTGTTCCAGAATTCTAAGGACAGTTAAGGATGTTAATGATTAATAATAACAACTAATATTTTCAGTCTCTCAGCCATATGCCAACTACTATTCCAGGTGTTTTAAACAGATGCAAACACTTTGAAGCCTTACACCTCTATCTCATTTTACTGATGAAGCCCTGGAGAGAGAAGGCAAAGTAACTTGCCCAATAATACAAAAATAGTGAGAGCAAAGCTGGAGTCTAAATCCAGAGGTCTGACTCATAAGTCTGCTAGGCTGTTTAACATTAATCTTGGTAACTTAATTATGCTATGTATTTCCTAGTGTACCATTAGCAGCAGTGAGTTTCATTAGTAATAGGTAGAAAATGGCCTTTTCCCTTTTTTTCAACCTTCCTTTCCTGCCACTTGAAGCTTATAAACTATAAATCGTGAGTGTGAGATATAAATTTTTAAAAAATTTTTCTAATCTCTTTCAACCTGGAAGTCCATGGAGAAACTTAAGGGAGGGAGACTCTGAACTTCCTGAAATTTTATGCAACATTTTAGGTAATCTTGTACTTTCATAGATTTAGTTCATCAAATTACCAAGGGAGTTGATATATATTCTAAAAAGATTCTATGGATTAAGTCCATGCTGATTTTTCTTTAAAATTTAATATTAAAAAAGAACAATATTTTGTTTTTATTATGGATATGTTATCTGCAGATTAGATCAACTGACTTGAGGCACTGTCACATAATGGTTATGAACTTAGGCTCTGAGTCTAAATTACAGTTTTACTGAATTTCCAAGATACTGAAGGGCATTAAGAGTTCATAATTATAACTAATATTATCTTATAGTTACTGTGTAAGTTAATATTTTGAATGCTTTACAAAATGAGCATGTTTAATCTTCATAATCACCTATAAATCCTATTATTTTTTCCTATTTTACTGATAAGCACATAGAGAAGAAGGGGGAAGTAACTTGCCCATGACATTTGCAATTGTGGGAAGTACTTGGGCTCCTCGTTCCTAGATTTCTTCACCTATAAAATAGGGAAAAGAACTACCTGAAAGGATTTTGGGGAGGAAGATATGAGATAATGTATATAAGATATTTAGTGTCTTGCTGGAACATATTAAATACTCGATAAACATGCTTTGAAGGAAAAATTTTAGCATATGCTATTCAATTATGCCTTTGAAAAAAATCAGATGTTTATACTATGCTATATGTTATTAGCATTTATTTTACTTAGAGTTTTTGATACTTGTTACTGGAAATACCTTTGTAGCTGTGTCAGGAGAAGTATAAACAATAAATTTTTGTGTGTGTTTAAAATTTTTTATTTTGTGTTAAAGTACATTTATTTCATTAACATGAATATTTAGAAATTGCCCATTGATTTATCTGTTTTCTAGGTAGTTAGATTTCATGGTGGAGCTCTTCCTGCTTATGTTATATCTAGTATCCTTCTTGCTTATGGAGGACAGTTATACTCTCTTTTCTCAACAGGTAAAAATGTTTATAATTTTTAAAGTTGATTTTGTTATGAATAAGTATTAGTGGAACAATTGTTAGTTCCATGTGTGTATTTAATTCAATTATGTTGACTTAAGAAACATAATAAGGAAGTTCTTAGAAATAGCCAAATACTAGTAGGCACTACTTACTGTTCTTGGAAACTCTAGAATAGTGTATGATTTTATTTTATTGTTTTACTTTTCTTCTACTGACCACCAATCCCAAACTAGTTTGGGGCAACTAGTCTACAAACCTCCAGTTTCTAGTCCTGAGATCTGCAGTTTACTATATTCTCTTAGCCTATCACTTTTTTATTAGTATAATTTTTTCCTTTTTATTGGTGCATTATAATTATACATAACAGTGGGATTTGTTATAATATGTTCATACATGCACACAATAAAATAGTAGAATTTGATCAGTTTCATTCCCTAATACCTCCCCTTTCCATTCCCTCTCTCCCCTGATCCTCTTCTTCTATTCTACTGGTCTGTCTGTCTTCTTTTTTTTTTTTTTTTAATTTGATCTATGTAACAGTATCATTTGTTAATGAAAAAATAAACATTTAACTGTTTTTTAAAATATATGAATTTGAAGAATAATCTTAATGTAATATTTTTCAGGATATGTATTAAAAAGGAATAAAATAATCATAATACATGTAAAATTCTTAATGCTCTAATATTATAAAATTATTTGTTTTAAAAAATATAAACAGTTTCCAAATAAGGTTCACACATTACCATTTGTCACTAAATTTGATCATTAAGTTTCTTAAGCTAAAAGTTCTGTCCTCCATGTTTTTTTAATTTTTGCCTCATAATTTATTAAACACAACCGCCTTTTTGCGTTTATGTCTCTCACAGTTTGAATTTTGCTGATTACACCCCTAGGTGTAGTTGAACATTTTTTCTAACTGCTCTATTTTTTATAAGTTGATAATTAAGTTGGGCATGGTGGCACCTCATGTAATCCCAGTGACTCTGGAGGCTGAGGTAGGAGGATCACAAGTTCAAGACTAGCATCAGCAATTTAGTGAGACCCTATCTCAAAATAAAAAGGCTGGGGTTGTAGTGCAGTAGTAGAGCACCCCTGAATTCAATCTGCAGTACTAAATAAATAAATAAATAGGTAATTAGAACTGTAGGCTTGATTACATTTAAATTGTATTCCCGTGCCTCTACTTGTTGCTGCTCCTGCTACAGGAATATTTCAGTTTTATGTACTTTTTTATAATTAATTTTTTATTGGTTCACTATAATTAAATGTAATACAATTCATCTTGATATATTTGTATGTGATCTTAACATAATTTGGTCAACTTTATTCCCCAATACCTTCCTTCTTCCTTCCCTTCTCCTTCCCCTCGTCTCCTTCCTCTAATCTTTTGATTTTCCTTTTATTTTCATGAACCACCTCCCTTTTTTTTTTCCTATCTTCTATGTGTTAGAGAAAACAAATGACCCTCTACTTTTTGAGTCTGGTTTATTTTGCTTAACATAATGCTCTCAAGTGCCATAAATTTTTCTGCAAATGACATAATCTCATTAATCTTATTTTTCTCTATGGCTGAATAAAACTGTACTGTATATATGTACCACATTTCTTTATCTATTCATTTGTTGATGACACCTAAGCTGATTCCATAACTTAACTATTGTGAATTGCACGGCTTTAAAATGTATGTATCACTATAATATTCTGATTTTAATTCTTTTGGATAAATACTGAAGAGTGATGTAGCTGAGTCATATGGTAGTTCCATTCCTAATCTTTTGAGAAACCTCCATATTGATTTCCATAGTGGCTAGTTTACAATCCCACCAAAAGTATGTTAAGTGTTCCTTTTTCCCAACACCCTCACTGGCATTTATTACTATTTGTTTTATTAATCATTGCCATTCCACTTGGAGTGAGATGAAATCTCAGTGTAATGTTTTTTCTTGCTTGTTTGTTTGTTTGGTATCAGGGACTAAACTCGGGCACTGAGTCACATCTCCAACCCTTTTTTTTGTATTTTATGTAGAGACACAGTCTCACTTAGTTACTTAGGGCCTTGCTAAGTTGCTGAGGCTGGCTTTTGAACTTGTGATCCTCCTGCCTGAGTCTCCCAAGCTGCTGTGATGTCAGACGTGCACCACTGTGCCTGGCTCAGTATAGTTTGATTTGCGTTTCCTGATTGCTAAAGATGTTGAACACTTTTTTATATATTTAGTGGCCCTTTGTAGTCCTTTTGACAAGTGTCTGTTCATGTGCTGTTCATTGGGTTGTTTTTTTGGTGGTAAGTTTTTTGAGTTCTTTATATATCCCCAATATTAACCTCAGTTGAAGAGTGGCTGGCAAAGAATTTCCCCCATTTTGGAGACTCTCATTATGCTCTTGTTTCCTTTACTATGCACAAGCTTTTTAATTTGATGAAATCCCATTTATTCTTGCAATTATTTCCTGTGCTTTGGAAGTCCTGTTGTTGCCTGTCCCTATGTTAGAGCATTGATGCTATATTTTTTTCCTAGAAGTTGCAGCATTTTTTTAAATCTAATTCCTAGATTTTTTTCCATTTTGAGTTGACTTTTGTGCAAGTTGAAAAATAGGAATCTAGCTTCATTCTTCTACATATGGATATCCAGTTTTGCCTGTACCATTCTGTCTTTTCTCCAATATATGCTTTTGGCACCTTTGTTCAGTGTTGTATACTTTTGTTATTAGGCATCTGCCCCCTAATCTCCTCCTGAGTTACCCTAGTCTGTTTCCTTCCCCTTCCTCTCCTCTCTTCCTTCATTCTTCCTCATTTTCCCTTCCTCCTTTCTTATTTTTCCTTGTTTCCTTTTTTGCTTCCTTCCATCTTTATTTCTGTGGGCCAGTGCATCAGAGCTACTTTTCATCCTACATGTGGCTAAAGAAGACAGAAAATTCATGACCTATATCTCCCAAGTTCTTAAGTTTAGGAATCCTCTAAGTTTTAAGACATCCCCAAGAAAATTCCTTATTTATTTATACACTTTATACCTTTATGCCTGAAGCTTCTTCCTTCTTGAGGACCTCTTAAGATGTAGAACCTCATCAAAGGCACATTGTTCTCCATTTTATTTCTGGAGCCTAACATTGTATCAAACATACAGTAGACATTTAGTAAGCTAGCCGTATCAGCAATGTCATTTAGGTCCTGGCTCACTGAATGGAATTATTGAAATTTTAATGAAGGAACTATTTCAAAGATTTGTGCAGAGTTAAGGGAAACCAACAAGAGATGATAAAGTACAAGCTAGAGACGGAGGAAACCTAAGAGACCTGTAGGAGTGAGCAGTGTTATTAGAGCTGCAACCTTGGGTATAGAAACAAGCAATAGCGCCAGTCTGTGTCTCAGCAGGGGGAAAGGTAGGGAAATGCATTCTCTAACACCATTTTTTCCTGCTCTCTTATCTACTAGAACCTTTCATTTACTAAATCTAACTATCTAGAAGCCTGTGCATGAAAGTAAGCCTCCCAGAGTCAACAGCAAAGTGAATGGATCTGGAGAGGCAGATGTAGGATAAATGGATAAAACCATCCTTAGAATATAATAATTAGAACAGTTTCCTGAGAGCCTAATCTTTCTTTTCTTGGGCTTGGACAGTAATGGAAGCAGGAAAAAATAATGGGACCAAAATATGTAAAAATATGTAAAAGTAGTCCATAAATCACCTCCACCATATCCATCTCCCCAAATCCTACAGCTACTTAATGCCTTTTGTTATTTTCATATAACTTTGGGTTTGCATTCCATGCTCATTTATACCTGAGTTAAACTATATTTCAGGAATACCTGTAATCCCAGTAATAAGGGTGGAGAGTGAGGCAGAAGGATCACAAGTTTGAGACCAGCTTCAGAAATAGCAAGGCCTTATCTCAAAAAGGGCTGGGGCTGCAGGTTAGTGGTAGATCACTTCTGGGTTTGATCCTCAGTATCAGAAGGGAAAAGGAGAGTGTGGGGGCTATTATTCTGGTGATATGACATCAACCAGACTTGAATGTAAAATCTGTCCTGTTTGGGGGCTGGGGCTGTAGCTCAATGGCAGAGTGCTTGCTTAGCATGTGTGAGGCACTGGGTTCGATCCTCAGTACCACATATAAATAAACAAGTAAAATAAAGGCACTGTGTCCATCTACAACTACCAAAAAAAAAAAAAAAAAAACTGACCTGTTTGGTTTTGGTCCCCCTACCCCTAATGTAGGGGATCAAACCCAGGGCCTCACACTTGTTAGGCTAGCTAGCATTGAGTTACATATCCAGCCTGTCCATAAGGTTTTGAATGTCTGAAAGGGAGGCCTCATACTTCTTAATTTCAGCAGACTAGATACTTGATTCCTAAACATATGAAATTCACAAATAGATAGCCCAGAAACTCCAGATATATATATATACACACACATATATATATGTGTGTATATATATATATATTTTACTTTAGAATATTTAAGTATGGGAATATATTTTAAACCAATTAAAGAGGTAGTTCTATACCAAAAGTGCATATCCAAATTTACCTCCTGGACTGGGAGTATAGCTCAGTGATAGGGCATTTGCCTAGCATGCATGAAACTGGGTTCAATCCACAGCACAAAAAAAAAAAAAAAGGAAAAAAGAAAATCACTAGCTAGAACGACTATAGTAAGAAAGATAATACCAAATGTTAACAAGGTTATGGAGAAAATTAGAACCCTCATATGCTTCTGAGAGGGATATAAAATAGAATAGCTTCTTTGGACAACAATCTGACAATTCCTCAAATGGTTAACAGAGTTATTTATATGACTCAGTATCTCCATTCCTAGAAAAGACCTGAGAGAAATGAAAGCATGCATTCATATAAACACTTGTACACAAATGTTTATAGAGTATTTATTCCTATTAGCTAAAACATAGAAATAATTTAAATGAATATTAATAAAAATATCATGTCCATACAGTGGAGTATTATTCATTAATAAAAAGAAGTAAAGTACTTGCACAATATTGAATATACTAAAAGAATCATTGAATTGTGAAGAGATGAAACTGTGTCTTTGACTTCCTAAATTTATTTCACAAATTACTATTTTCTAAGAACCATTGAATTAACAGTAATTTTTAGTGTTTCTTCTCTGGTGGTAGCAAAATCCCTTGCTTTTCTGACATAAAACATCTTGCTCTTGACAATGCAAAATATATTTCATACTTAATTACTGTGAATTCTGTGTTGCAAGTAATTTTTTTTAAATCACCAGGTTATTGCTTAGAATATGCTATCATATTGGATAAAGAAGCCAAACCATATAAAGTTGATCCTTTCGTAATTATGATTAAGTTTCTTTTGGGGTAAGTTTTATTTTATTATCTGTGATAATGATTTTAATTTTATTTTATATAAAAATATGTTTGAGGTGCTGGGGTTGTGGCTCAGTGGTAGAGAGCTCACCTAGCATGCATGAAGCACTGGGTTAAATTCTCAGCACCATATAGAAATAAAATAAAGATATTGTGTCCACCTAAAACTAAAAAATAAATATTAAAATAAATAAATAAATAAAGTTATAAAAATATATATGTTTAAAAAATGTTTGATATATAATGCAGTGTAAATGTTCATACAAATTTGGCAGTTGACTTGTTTCATTGGATGGGATTTTTCTTTTAAGAAAAAGGCTTAATCAACATATTTACATTTATTTCAGTAGTATAGTCATTCCAAAAATAATTATTGAACTTCATCAGTTTTAACTTAGGCAGTAAATAAAACATTACTTTAAGGTTTGCAAATGAATACATATAATCTATGATATTTGAGTATCCCAGACTGACAAACTATTATAGAATATTGATAAAATAGTGCCTCTGATCATTTTCTGTTCTTATAGAAACTATAAGAAACTATATTTTATAACTCTTAATTGTAGTTGACAGTCCATTCTTAATTTATTTATATTTTATATTTTTTGTTTAAGAATCGGTACTTAGGGCTGGGGATGTGGCTCAATCGGTAGCACGCTCGCCTGGCATGCGTGCGGCCCGGGTTCCATCCTCAGCACCACATACAAAGAAAGATGTTGTGTCCACCGAAAAAAAAAAAAAAAAAAAAAAAAAAAGGTGCTTAGCCAACTAGTTGTTGTTGGCTTCTTAAAAAAAAAAGAAAACATGAATAAGAATGCATTGTTTCATAGAGAAATCAAGAGTACAGTAAAGCTGTGTTGAGAGTCAGTACTCAGATAGTTTCTGATAGGTAGATTTTCTTGGGAGATAAATGACTTTTTTCATTCAGAGACTTCCAATTTATTTTTCAGGATAAATTTATAAATTGAGAATCATGGAACATTAAAGACTCTAGTGAATGGTCAAACACCTCAAATATGAAATCCTGGAATATTAGTTGTTGGGAGTGTTTATTTATTGTTTTGCTTTCATTTTGTTTTCTTTTGTCCACAGGTATAAATGGTTTAAGGAATTATGGGACTTATTATTGTTACCAGAATTAGATGCCATTGTTTTAACTAGTCAGAGTATGTGTTTCCCCCTTGTATCCTTGATTCTCTTTCTATTTGGAACATGTACTGCCTACTGGAGTGGCCTACTATCTTCTGCATCTGTGAGACTCCTTTCCTCATTATGGCTAACTTTGAAAAGGTAAAATGAATGACTCAAAGCTTTCCTACTTCTTTTAATCAGATTCTGCCGTGACACACAACTAAACCAGTCGGGGTCACTCCAGGTGAACTGGGCTGGCACGAAATAATCACACAGAGACAGAGAAATACCTTTTTCTTTGGGTTCTGACCCAGCTCCCACAATGGAGGCAAGGCAGGCAAGAAAGAGAAAGAGCACACCTCGAACCCAGTTTTATTGGGGAGAAGCCATTCAAATGAGGCAAGGGGTAGGATTACAAAGGAACAGGTGAGTGTAACTCAAACCCACCGGGTGACGCCTACTCCTGGAGTCAGGCCTCATTATCTGAGTGGAGGTAAAGCCCAAGTTATTGAGGGGTGCAATAATTATTCAGTATCTCTTGCTCAGGACTTAAGGGCATGTATTTCCAGAGGGGCTCCCAACAAGATCCACTAAACAATTTTGTAAGGAAAGATGTATAACTAGCAAAAGCATGAATTAGTTCCAAATTATGCCTTTATCAAAGCTTATTAGTTATTGAAAATTAAATGCCACCTTGGATATTTACTTTAGTGCCCAAGAGTTAGTCAAGAACGCTTGACAAATTTCATGGTTGTAAATCCCTCACAAGGGATTGTTTCTCTGCAGTGCTTTTGTATGCTCAATTTGATAATGAAACCTGAGGGCAAGAGACACCAATCAATATATTTAGCATCCTATTAGATGAAATGTATAAAACCTCCAAGGAGGCTAAAACAATCTAGAGTTGTATTAAGAGCCCAAACACACAGTTAGAATCTGAAGTAAAACACCAATCTAATTTCCATCGCCACTCCTCCGTATCATACATGTTATCTGATTTACTCTCATGGAGGATGGGGGTTATGGTGTGGTACTTCTTTACTTTGCCTTCTGAGGTGCTTTTGGCAGGGGTGTCTGACAATAACACCAACAAGCATCAGAGTAGTCTCAAGGCTTTAAAAAAATGGAAAATTGTTCTTCCTATCAAGAGTGGAGATGTATGGCACAGGGTTTATAATTAACTTTTTGTCTTCATTAGTATAAGTATTAGCTACATGTATCTAAATGGGAAAGGAGCTGTCACACTATATTATGGAACTTAAATTAATGTGACCACATGCCTTTATTGATACTGTTTACCACATGTTTACCACATGACACTTATATACTAATAAGTAGAAGAGGCTGGCAGAGTACTTCAGGTTCATTAGTCCTCTGAAATGCCTGGGACCACAGGTGTTTCAGATTTCACTTATTTTTGGGGGGGAATATTTGCATGTACATAATGAGATATCTTAGGGATGGGAACAAAGTCCAAATACAAAATTCACTTATGTTTCCTATATACCTTATACACATAGCCTGTAGATAATTTTATACAATATTTTTAATGTGTACCTGCATTTCAACAGTAACCCATCACATGAGATCAGGTGTGGAATTGCCATTTGTAACATGTTAATGCTAAAACTTTTGAGTTTTGGAGCATTTCCAATTTGGGTTTAGGGATGCTCAACCTGTATATTGTTTTCTTCTTCTATGTGACTGTATAAATATCTGTTACTCTATTATTTTAAACTTTCTTCTTATTCCAGACCCTCTGAACTTCCTAAAGATATCAAGATGATATCACCAGACTTACCTTTTTTGACAGTTGTTTTGATCATAATTAGTTGGACAACTTGTGGAGCACTTGCCATACTTCTTTCTTATCTTTACTACGTATTTAAGGTAGGTCAAATCAGTAGTAAAGCCAGAACGACTGGGCTTTATGTTAGGCAGGTGTAGAATGCCTTGTAGGCTTTGTTAATGAAAATTTTAATTACTATTATAACACTCCTCTGTTATATAATAGATTTAAATAAAGGTTTTCTAAACATCTTGGTTATGTAAATGGTATACAGTTACTGTATAACTGAGATTACTCATTTGAGTTGAGGTTTTTGCTAAGGAAAAAAAGACAAAGGAAAACACACATAATCTGTTTTAGGTTGTTGCTTCTTACATTTGCAAATGATAACTTAAAAAATTTAACAGAAAGGTTTTTTTTGTACCTCTCTTTGAACATGGGTGAGAGAAAGCAAAAATTTAGTTGGAAATCAAGTTACTAATCATGCTGAGACAACATAAAATATTAAGAAATGTTACAGAAAAATGAGAATATGATGATAAAAATAATGGAAGCAAAAAACTGAAGAAGCAAAAAACACTTCCAAGAAGGCTGACAACTTTGCAGGAAAATTCAGGAGGTTATACAGCTGCATACCCTATACATTCATGTGTAGACACTTGACATGGATAACAATTACTTTTTTTTTGAACAAATACTTTTTCCTCTGCTTTTAACACTAATATATGCTCATTATAGATTATTTTCAGTTTTACAAAGGAATTTATGTGCATCTGAAAAAATATTTAAACCTATTTCAATTCATAAATACAACATAGTTGTTTAAGTTAGGTATTTCCGACAACTGACATAAAAGCAAAACATTCTAAGATACTTAAAGAACTAAAATATATTAAATGTACAGATTTTTTGTAAACATTTTATCACTGTATATTATTAATTTGCATTTCTTCTTTATTTGTACTTCTTATATTGAAGATAATCAAATTTTTTATTCATAAGACACAGAAAATGTCTATAGCAAGGTATCATTCAAACATAGGTTCACAGGAGGCAAAAGGTATAGCAACATATCCTGGTCCCTACATACTCTGGAAGTTTGTATTGTTTGTTTGTTTTTTTCAAGTATTTCCTTTTTTTAATCCATGGTAGCAAGTATGTGTTGTTTTATCTTTCCTAAAAGAATGTTTTTAAATGTATAAATGAATTTTTAGTTATTTAGATTTTTTAAAATTTCAGATTACAGTGCTTCTCGGTTTTAATAGAAACTCCTATACCTTTTTTGCAAAACAAGTAAATTAAAGTTATTTTTTCCCCTAGATTGTTCATCTGCAAGCCAGCCTCACAACTTTTAAAAATAGCCAGCCCGTGGTACGTTGTATTTTAAAAACTCTACATAGCTTTAATATGAAAGAACATGAGAAAATATAAGTTTATTTTTCAGAAAGGTTAGAATTTGATAGTGTGTGAAAGTATTATGAATTTTTAAGTAACTTTAATAAAACTGAACTTAAAAGATTATTAAAATACATTGAAATTATTCTAAATTTAATTTGACCTTTGTTAGTACCTATGCCATTTTTGTTATTGTTATAAAATATTATCTTTTAAGTTTTATTTTGAGCAATTACCTAGAGGCTATATTCTCAGAAGTGAAAATAGCAAGTCAAAGAATAAAACTTTTATAAGTGTAATCATTTAATTAGGTACCATTTAAATAGGTAATTTCAGTTTGGTAATAGAATGGTTTACATATTTAACTGGTTAGTAGTTATGATTCTAAATAAAATAAATATCTCTGATTTATTTTTGTGTACTTAATGTTTTGTGTTTGTGTACTTGATGTTTTTACTTTATTGCTTTATAGAATCCCAAACACTCTAGAAGAAGTGAAAAAAAATCCAATCACCATAAAGACTCTGCAGTACACCATCTTCGTTTATCTGCCAGTGATGCTGAAGACAGTCTTCGCATGCACAGTACTGTGATTAACTTATTAACATGGATCGTATTACTCAGCATGCCATCTTTAATTTATTGGTTAAAAAATCTTAGGTGTGTTTCATTTATTATTTTAATAATATTATTATTATTATTTTTTGGTTTAGACAAAGAATATGTTCAAGTAGAGACTTGCTTATATTCCTGATGGTCCATGAAAATTCCTTAAGAATAAGAAGCTATGAATCTGAAATTTATTTTCAGTACATTCATATTTTCTCCTGTTCTATAAAAATATAAACTTTTGGAATATTACCTCCTTCAAAAATCTGCAAAAAGAGAGCAATTTGTATTTTTACTTATTGGTACATTTCTAAATAAAATGCCATCTCCTCCAAATACTAGTCAAGCCCCCTACACACACATACAAAAAAAATAATATAAAGCTTTCAGAGTATGTAAGTATTGAAAATATTTTTTTTAAGTTGGTAGAACTAAAAAAGTTCAATAAATGAAATAAAAGATTACCAGATGTTAATATCTTTTTATCCCTCATTTTAGTCAAGATCCAGATTTATGTTCACAGATTTGCAGTTGCAATTATTTGAAGAGCACATACTTATCATTCTGAAAGGCCACAGACATTACTGTCAAATATATACAAGAGATGAGATCCTTGAATTTTAAAAAGATAACGGATAGCTAATTTATATAAACATTTATTTTATCTGTCATAGAGCAGCTTTAATGTATTTTAAATAATTTGCCTTTTAAAAACTTTATACTACCTTTAAGATATAAACTGATTATAAAAGGGAAGTCTTTCATTTTGGGTGTTTTTATTTCTTTAGTAGTATCTGACCATAATTCTCCATATAAAACCTTGGGTTATAAGGATGATCTAGAGCAAAAAGTACATATAAAGATTTCAGGAGCTGTTTAGAGCTCTCTTTTATCCATGTTGCTATTGGAATGTTTTGAAAATTATTGAATTTGATTGATTCTGGTAATTTAAAATGAACAAGATAAACCAGACACAATGGTGTACGCCTATAATCCTAGCAGCATGGGAGGCTGAGACAGGAGGATTACAAGTTCAAATCCAGCCTCAACAAAGCAAGGTGATAAGCAACTCAGTGAGACCCTTTCTCTAAATAAAAATACAAAATAGGGCTGGGGTTGTGGCTCGGTTGAATGCCCCTGAGTTCAATCCCGGTACTAAAAAAAAAAAAAAAAAAAGATCAAGCCAGGTGTGGTGGCAAACAACTGTAGTCCCAGCAGCTTGGTATCCTGAAGCAGGAGGATTGCAAGCTCGAAGCCAGCCTCAGCAATTTAGTGAGACTATGTCTCAAAGAATAAATAAATAAAAAGGGCTGGGGTTGTAACTCAGTGATAAAAGAACCCCTGGGTTCAATCTCTAGTACCTAATTAATTGATTGATTAATTTTTAAAGCAAACAGTTCTGTTTTGTTGACTTATGGGGTTTTTCTTTTCTTTTATAATAGGTATTATTTTAAACTTAATCCTGATCCATGTAAACCTTTGGCATTTATCCTTATTCCAACTATGGCAGTTCTTGGAAATACTTACACAGTTTCAATAAAATCAAGGTATGATACATTAATCTTTCTTTTTCTTACATCTTTTCCTGATGTAACACTTTATTTTAACACTTTATTTTTATTTCTGAAGCATATTATTTATTTGTAGTTAATTTAATTATTCCTAAAAATAACAGTATTATGGGTTTTTATGTAATTATGCTATACTTATTTTAATTATAAGTTTTACTTGTTAGGATGTAATAATATGGGTTATTTTCTTTAAAAAGTTAACCCTTAAAAGATATCTAAGACTTACTTCTAAAAAGTACAGGAAGAGTGGAAGTTCAGATTGGCCATGATTTTTGAAGTTGGCTAACAGGTACATGAAGGTTCATTATGCCATTAGACTTCTTTTGTATATGATTAAATTCTCCATAATAGTATTTGGCTTTTCATTCACTGGTTGTTTGCTCTGGGAGCCTTTTCAGTTGATTCTGGAAGATATATGCCAATATTCTGGAATCAAGCCAACCTGGGGCTCATATATTAGCTCTGCCATTCAATACCTTTATGTCCTTAGCAAGCTTTTTAACCCTTCTTATCTGCACTTTCTCTTTTCAGAGTAAAATGGTGATAGTCTTTTCTGGGAGTAGTATTGTTTTAAAAACATTTATGTCTTAACTTACATGGTTCTTTCATTTTGGAAATTAAAGAAGGTTCCTGCTGGGTGCAGTGGCACACACCAGTGACTCAGGAAGCTGAGGCAGGAGAACTGCAAGTTCAAGGCTAGCCTCAGCAACTTTGCGAGACCCTGTCTCAAAATAAAAAAATGAATAGGACAAAAGATATAGCTCACTGGTAAAGTGCCCCGGGGGTGTTTAAGCCCCAGTACAAATCAATAAGTAAAGAAAAATTCCTTCTGAGTTTGCTTGTTTAGTTGTTACCATAACTAAGATTAAAATAAACATTTCTGTAGCTATATCTTAGTGAATAGCATTATTTTTGGTAGGATAAATTTTTAGAAGTAGTATTGTTGAGTAACAGTCCATCTAATATTTTTCTGTTGTTAAAATTTGAAACACTAAACCAAACTGGCTGTTTTCTGAGTAGAAATGTTTTCCCTTTTTCTGGTCAAAATATAGCTCATATTTCTCTTTTTAAAAAATCATGGACAGGGCTGGGATTGTGGCTCAGCAGTAGAGCACTTGCCTACTATGTGCGAGGCCCTGCGTTCAATCCTCAGCACCACATTAAAATAAATAAATAAATAAAGGTACTGTGCCCAACTATAACTAAAAAATAAATATTAAAAAAATCATGGATAGGTAAATTTATTATATTAAAAATTATTTCATTTACAATCACTTAGAATACTTACCTTTCCCAAAACTATAAAAGATTGACATATTCTGTTTTGACTCACATTGCAGTTTACATAATAATGTATATTTCTCTCTTTACAGTAAATTGTTGAAGACTGCCTCACAATTTCCACTTCCTCTGGCTGTTGGTGTGATTGCTTTTGGGTCAGCACACTTATACAGGGTTCCATGCTTTGTCTTCATACCTCTCTTACTCCATGCATTATGCAACTTTATGTAAGACTGGACTTACATGATGATAAAGATGATTTATGCCTTTAGGGCCAGTAATAAGAGTGAACATACAGATCCACCAATATGGGCAGCAAGATCCTTTGGAGAAGACAAGTCTATTTTTACAGTATTGAAAATAGGAAATTAGTTTTGTAATGCTTGAGGAAAACAGATGAAGCATGGTTTTGTTTTGTGGTGTGGCATCTAGGTATTAGTCATTTTGCAAAATTAGTGGAGAAATATGATGGCCCCTGGCTTTGAGGACTCCTGTGCATATCACCTAGTCTACTTCATCAGCCATACCAAGGATCTTTTTCTAGAGACTCAGTAGATGCAACATTGTTTGTAGTCTCACATCAAACATTTTGCTTGTTTCATCAAGCTTTCTTCTGTAGGTTGTTTTATATTTGCTATCTGTTTTCTATTTTCAATATGTAATCTTACATATTAAAAAAGAAGTCCTAAAAATTTGACCAAAAAAAAAAAATGAAAGAAAGAAAAGACTGACAAAATCCACTCTGTTTGGTTTCTCAGAAGTTAAATTACCACAAAGAGTCTTTGGTTGGTTTTCGGCAGCCAGGGTGAACAGAATAGACCTTTTGTCTTCTTACATCTATGGAAATAAAGCTTTGAATTATAAGGAGACCTGCTTTTTGGTAACCAGAGCAAGAATGATGATGGAAACATGATTCAGACTCAAAACAATGAAATTCTGTTATCATATATTCTTGGTGAATATCAGGGCATCATTTAAGAAATCTGTTGTTAAATTTAAAGAACATTCTCACAGATATTGGGATTGGAGTAGTTTGTTTGGTTTATACCATTTGATTGATTCATTGCACCCATGGTTGCAAAAAGGTTTTCAGGCTATGATAGATTATTGAAATAACAACTCCAGTGGTCATAAACAACTATAGGTTTGCACCATTTTTTGTCTACTGTGAAAAAAAATCAACATGATCACAAGTGTAGTAGCACATTTGATGTGTGAAACTATACTGTAATGGGATAACAGTAAACAGGTATTATCATATTAATAGCATAAATATAAACAGTACACCTCAATAAATTGGGATGTTAGCCAATAGATTTAACAGTAGAATCTTGATTCGCCTATGTGACTTCTAGAATTACTGTTTGACAAATAAGAGTAACGTTTCTATTTCATTGCAAATTTCGATTCACTCTAATAACAAGAGTTTGAAGAAGGTGATGGAGCATAGTACAAGAAAATAGTACTCTTTGCCTTCACATAGAATAAACTCAGGCTGAAGTATACCTGGCTCATAGAGCCCTTCTTTTAGATGTGTGTGCTATAAATACTCCAAACCTCTTAAGTAATGTCCTTAAGTTTGGTGATTCCATGGTCACACATGTAAAATTGTGTCCTTGTTAGTACCCTGGGACGTCCTAGAGAATCAGTTTTATTTCATCTGCCATTGTATCTGGATTCCATTGCAACCTCTAAGCTGTTAATTCTATAGAGGGTCCCTTCCACTTTAATAACTGTGGGGCATTAACTCATTTCCCTTCTTAATTTCTCTTCAGGTCCTTGTTTTTAGCATTAGTCAGAGAAGGTCTTATTCTCACCTGAGGGTTGTAAGTTTGCATGATTCCGTTGTTGTCATTTTCAATTTTATGCTTATTGTTCAATATTCATATTATCACTTACCAACACCATTAAAGTGGAGGCATAGTAAACTTAGAGACATACCAGACTTTTATTTGTTTGAGAGAAATAGCAAAAATAATAAACCACAAAATGCTTGAATGTTCGATACCTGAGAGGAAAGAGATTTTTATTAGATTATACACTTGTCTTTGTGGCAAACCACATATATATGTGGGAGTGTAGTTACCAACAAGTTCTAAAGTCTTACTTAAGCCAACAAAATATTTCATTTTAAGGACTACAAAATTAATTAAATATTTTATAAACAGTAGTACTTTAGGTCATTAGCCATTATATTTGTATGTATACAAATATACATACATATACACATTTTTGACAGGGTCTTCATCAAGCACTTTAAATTCAGGTAGCTACCAGAAGTGAGAGGTAGGTTCCATCTGAGGATTAGCAAAATGGATTATTTCTATCATTAGGAAAACTCCTTGGCCTTTAAATTACACACTGTGGGAAACATGCTTACAATCTTTATTATCCTACAAAACAGCACAGATCTACTAGCAGAGTTACTGAAAAGGAAATTATTTATTGGCAGCAAGAGATAATCTAGTTCTGCAAATTTCTGTGTTCTGCTCCTAAGGCATTTTTATTTAGAAAATTATCAAGTTTTGAGCAAACATTTTTGCATATAAAATAATTCCTAGACATTGTTGTTGATACTAGATTGGTTATAGATTGGACAGGGAAAAACATTGGATACTTTCAGTGTTTCTAAAGCCTTCCCTGGAGTTGCTGCTGTTATAATCTAGAACTGATAATATGATAGAAATCATTAACATGGTGTTTGGTAGTGGGGGTAGGTCCCTGGGATCCAGCCCAGGCCCTCTCACGTGCTAAGAACACACTCTACCACTGAGGTATACCATCAGCACCTGTTAAACTTTTTTATTTCTGAATCATTTTCATGCCAGAGTTAAATTAGGTTCTTATTTTCTTCATTTTTGCCAGAATGAAAATATTTAAAGCAGTGGTTTTTAAAAAGCCACTATGCCTTTTTTTTTTAATAGTTTCCTTTTTAACAGAAGCTGTTTATTTTTATTTTTTTTTATTTTTATTGTTGGTTCAAAATATTACGTAGTTCTTGATATATCATATTTGCCACTATGCCTTTTTTAACATTGATTTTGAATCCCTTTCATATACATTAATAATACATTGATTAATCTTTTAATATTTTGGTCAGATAAACTCAGATGTGTATGATGGAATTCCTTTTCTTGGATGAACTAACTATACTAATATCCACATGATAATTTAGTAAAGAAAAATAAGGAACTATAGTAGGTAGGCCTACTAAATGTTTGTTACTGCTTATTTCATCACTCGTTTAGACACTACTTGTTATAAAGTAAGTTGTTTTTTTCATTTTCTAGTTCCTATAGCTTCCTTGACTCTCCAGCCTTCTCATTTATAGCATAATGCGTTCATTTAACCTGACTACCTGTTAGCATTTCTTAAAGAAAGTGGTCAAGGGAAATAAAAGGAAGTAAAAGGAAAAAACACACCTTTCAATGTAGCTTTTTAAAGCTCTGGGAAAAATAGGGAAACATAAATAAAAATCTGATTCCTGAATCTCTAGATAAATCACTTGGCCTAATTTCCATCTTACATTGGTTCTAAATTAGTGTAATGTCTTATATTATTATTTAGTTTAGTGCAAAACCTTAGAGTGCTGCATTTGAAGTTTTAGGAACTGGTTACTAAAACCATTTGAGGAAAACCCAAAAAGGTGTTGAGACTTTCTATGACGAGGCATTTGTTGATTATTTTCATCATCACTTTGTGTTTTCTCAGTGTTATAGGATTTTTTCAATTTGTATACCATAGGAAAGAAAATACCTTGTGAAGTTTATTAAAGGGGAAAATCAATTGGGAAAGTATGCCACTTGCTCACCAGAATAAAAGGGAGCAATAAAAGTTATCTTTCTTTCAGGAAATTAAACCCTGCCAGGAAATTTCTTAGCAAATAAATGTAAATGCAGAAGATACTTTTACAAAATTATGTGGAAACTGAACTTTTATCCCAGTCTTTTTGAACTAAGAACATTTCAAATTCTGAAGTTTATTTATACACATTACTCATGGATTCTTTCACAATAAGTTTTAGTAAATTGAGAAAATAAGTGTTTACTTTTCATAAGGACAATAGGAAAGAAAATTTGAGTCAGTGATCCAAGTGCAAATGTGTGTACTGTGATTGCTCAAGAATTCATATTGTTTTAAATAAATTATATTATGAATAGGGAAAACTGAATTTTATATCTTAGTTCAAAGAACAGAAAAAATTTTGGAAATAGAATAGACAAACTGTTATTGCATTAATAATATAAGTGTGACAGTACACCTAAATTGTGAACAGCGTTGTTCAAAAGTTAAGTGATATTCTAAGATACATCTTGATTAAATTGTCTTAAGTTAATGCTTTTTAAATCAAGTACAGTACTTTCTAAAAGTGTTTGGCATGTTATGCTGCTCAAAATGTAAGATTTTAGATACCAGGAAACCAGTTAATTTCTGAGGATTTTGCATAAGATTCAGATCAATCTGTAAACATTCTGTACATTGTAACTTTCAACATTTATGAAAAACTGTATCTGTTGGTGTATTTTAATTAGGATAAGTTTGTTCTCATATTCAAATTCTAATCCTAGTTTAGGAAATCTAAAAGTAGCCATTTTTGTAAAGTTCATATGCTATTTTTAATGTTATTTTGACTTTTAGTATTTATATAGTAGTAATGTTATGAGTAAAAAAGTTTATAGACAAAGCATAGCTATTAACTGTTCAAAAGCCTAAATGATAGGCATATTTTGTATTTCATGTTGCACTTATTCTGTTTCATATTGGACTTTTACATCCTTTTTTAGAAAGAAAATACATTTGAATTATTATTAGCATCAAAGCTCTGTATTGAAAACTCTAACTGTATTCATCTGGTAAACATACTTTACCACCAAAGCTAAATGAAATTGTAAAATACCTCTGGATATTTGTGCCAATGAAACTTTCTTAACATATTGGGATTAAAGCAAAAATAATCTTTTTCAGTGTTCTTCATTTAGGACTTATAATAAATGTGTATATCATGAAAATTCCCATATTCTAATTTTTCTTTGAAAATACTCAATTATGGTACAGTATGTTATATTTTGTATGATTTTTTAATGTTTTGATTTTATTTGGTAAAAATCAGGTCACCCAATACTGACCTTTCATCATTGATGTAATCATTTGAAATAATTTTGGTTTTGATTAATTTTGTGATATAGGACATTAATTTTTGTTGTATAGTTATGGGTGTCTTATTTATGTTAATTGAAAGTTTGCAATTTCTTTTGTTTTCTATATGTTTCCACTCATTCCCTTCATGTGGTCATATGGGGAAATTATCCACTAGACCCTAGCAAAGTATAATGAAATAAACTTTTTAACATGTGAATTTTAAAGGAAAATATTATAAAACAATCAAAATGTTAATGCTAAAGGTTACATTAATATGGTAGTACTTGTGAGAGAAAAGTAGAAATATGATAGGCTCAGAAACTGCTGTTTATCTACTTGAAATGTTTTAATTTCTCATATAAATTTTAAGGACGTTTCAGACCTTCATAGTGTTTTCCATCATTTAATCACATTTCTCTGCCCAGTAATGTTTGTACAGTTTGAATAAGTATTGTTGGAAGTAAAGACATAGCACAGAAAAGCAAATGTTGAGATATTTGGCCTTGATTTAATAATAGTTTATCCAATTATCTAATGGGGACTGTGGGTGATATTAATGAAAAGACAATGTACAAAATCTGAACTTACTATATACTGTCCTTTGGAATGAGTTTGTCCTCTGTGTTGAACAATTTATCCTAAATAGGAGATGTCTGTATTTTAACATAATCATGCTTTCTACATTGTCAAATAGGTATTTGATGTAAAACTGATAGAAATAACTTTGTCCTCCTCTGTTGTGGGGGTGGGAAGAAAATCCAATTTTTAGTGTGTATATATATTAGGAAATTGTATTATGTATTTACATTTTTAAAAACATAAAAATGACTTAAATATATTATTTTGAAGTGATTGTAATACAGTTTCTTAAACTTAAGACTAACTATAAATGTAGCAACATACCCATGAGAAACCAGACCAAAATTAAATATATATCACTGTGACCTTTAACTTGTAGTCATTTGGAGTAAAAAAGACTGTGCCTTAAAATGATAAAGAAATGCCCTGCAGTTTTATACCTGTATATTTTATTGTGGGTGGCCTTTTCAAACTGATCCCAAATCCTTTTCTTTAAAGTTGGAGAAAAATTTTAAAAGCTGATTAGTAGTTCACTTAATATTGCAGAACTATTGTTCTTGAGGCTGCCCTTAATTTCCAGAGTTCTTGTTTTCAAATTAAGATTGACTTAGGCCACATAGATGTAGAAAATTAAGTTTGGCTAAAGTTTTTGTGAAAACAACAACAACATTATTTTAGGAGAAGGTCATGGCACCTATGAACATATATTGTGCATGGAAAAACAAATCTTCAAAATGTAATTTTTTTGACATATTAATGAGTAGTCTAACAAAGATGCAAGCTCTTTCTTAAGACCTGTATTCATTTTTCTATAGATTGTTGAGGTTTGTGTTTGTATGTGTCAAATAAGATTCATTTATCCAATAATGGTTTTTAGCAACTAAACTCAGATTCATGTAGTATATTTTTAACATTTTTCTGTTTTCTTTTTCCTTCCTACTTATTTTTAAGATACCAAGATAAAACTGGCTCCAGTTTTTATTTGCTTGTTTTTTTAATGTATAGTCTTGTATCTTTACTGTGCTTATTTAAAATAATGGCACAATTTCTATTAAAGTTCTAATTATTCCATTTATAAGACAGTCATGTTCTCTGCTAAAAGATGCCCACATTTCTGTGTTCTCAGAGTGTGTGTTTTATTTCTCAATTTTAGTTTTGAACATAGACTCAACATATTTGTTCCTTCCTATTTTACCACCACTACCATCCCTCAAAGACAAGAAGGTAGGTTTCTCTAAAACTATATAGAAAGATGATATGTCTTTCCTTCAAGCCTGGTCAAATTGACAAGAAAATAGTTTGGGCAAGGGTATGTAGTAAATAAGTGGCTTTCAACCTACATCAATTTTTATATCACAGTTAAAAATTTTACATAGGACAAAGTTTGTTGTTCTGAGATAGACTCAGTAAGAAATCATTTATTAGCAAATTGATTTTATTCTCATCCAGAAAGTTCATTGCATAATAACAGTACTTAATAGTGCAAAGCAACTTGTCCTGTAGTATATATATTGAAAAATTATTGTCACCTCGAGGATCTTTCCATTTAAACATGCATGATCTTCTCCAGTACTTTGTACAATGTATGGTGTACTAAATACACTTATGTGTAATTTTGTGTGTATTTTTGGTATGATGTAATTAATATTGTTACATTTAACTGGTTGTAATTCAGAAAAAGTGCTACTTATTGTGCTTCATAGAGTGTTGTGAATTTTTTTTCCTTATGTTTCCACATTATGGTGTAAGTTTATAGATGAATATTTGCCTTCAGTCTCTGCTCAGGTATTAATGTGTAGCAATTTTGGTGCTTTCTTTTTAATGTCATAATCTGGTGTTCTGAATGTTCAAAAATAAATTTGGTGAATAAGCACATGTGGTACAAAGGTTGCTTAATAGTTCACAGACTCTTCCATAATACTATCGCAGGAAAAAAAAAACCTTGAAAAATTATTTCTTTACATGTTTTAGCATTCCAGAATGTCCATTCAGCATGGGCATGATATATCACAAGTAAATACTGAAAGCAAGATACATTCAGATACTTTCCAATTTGTATTTTGTAGCTTCCCACATACATATGTATGGATACTTTATAGTTCACATTCTGTTTTAAGGAATTATACAGTTATGTTTCTTTTAAAAACCATGCTTTCCACTTATTTAAGCTGAGTGTATTCCTGGGTGCCCAGTATAGTAAGAATGAGAATGATTTAGACATTATAAACAGATTTCCAGGTTACCACATAACTACTAAATTTGATCTTTAAAGGAGAAATTTAGTTAGGCTCAGTGACAACCATCTGTAATCCCAGCTACTATGGGGACCGAGGCAAGAAGATAACAAGTTCAAGGCTAGCTTGGACAACTTAGACCCTATCTCAAAACATATATTTATATATTTTAAGGACTAGGAATGTTACATTGCTTGTCTAGTATGGCTGAGACCTTGGGTTCAATCCTAAATCTGGGGGGAGGAGGGGAAAGAGGCCTGGAATTCTGATTTGAAAAGTGACCCAAATTAATTCTCAAATGTTTGATGGCATTGCCTTGGTCAATAAAATTAACTTGTTTGGGTTCCTAGAAGCAATTAGAAAGATAATCTATAGGGTTATAAGATGCCTAAAAGAATACCAAATAATTTGAGAGTTTAGAATAGATTCAAACTTCATTAAAATAGATGGAAGAAATAAGAGATTTTGAGGGACAAGTATCTATTTTAACCAGAATTCCTAAGTACATGAATATTTGAGTTATCCACATATACTAATATTGTGTACATTATTATATATACCCCAAAATGTAAAGTTTTAAGGATAAGAAATACATAACTAGAAACCTTAGTGTGTTCTTTGGATATCTAGAGGATTATCTTGAAACCAACAAAATTGTGAAATGACTGAGCATGCAACATGAAAACCTGTGAGCCTTTCCCACCAGTTTTACTCCCCCTTTTCGATTTCCTCTTCATTCCCTTTCCCTTATATATAAGTTAACTCCCATGTAATGACTGCATGGCCAATTACTACAAAATTTACAACTTAAAACAACAACCATTTATTTGTTCACAATTCTGTAGAAGTTCAAACACAACCCACTGTGTTCTCTATTGAGTCTTGGACTTTTGGAATCACTCAAATGACTCTGTTAAGCCATCTGAGGTTCATTCAAGTTATCCAGTTCACTTCCTTGTGGGTGATAGGACTGAGCTTCCTGTTTTCTTGCTGTTGACCTGGGACTGTTGCACTTTGGTGCCATGTCCTACAACCTAACACCTCACAACATGGCAATTTGCTCCTTCAAGACCAGCAGAACCACATTTTAAACCACTTTACTTTCTCTCCCTCTCATCTTTAAACCCTGATTTAAAGGGCTTAAGTGAATAGCTAGAATCCAGTGATAATTCCCGCTTTTGGTTAATTCAAAGTCAACCTTAATTATTCATCTGCAAAATCCTCTTTGCCATATAATGTAATAATCATATTTCCATCATAGTCACAGGTTCCACCCACCATCCAGGAGGGGGGATTCATTATTATACAAGGTATGTATACCAGGGCATGAGAATTTTAAGGATTTTAGAATTCTGCCTACCACATAAAACATTGAACTAAAGTGTTTTTGCATAACTGCTATATGTAATAATTCCTTAATTTTAATTCAGAGAGCTGATGAGTTAAATATAAAATTTTTTGTGGGGGGAAAAAAAAGCCCCTCGATGCAGTCATTGAATTTTAAATGGCCTTTAAAAGACTAAATTATGTCTCTCACTCCTGGGTTGTTTTTCTTGTACATGAGATTAGGTGAGAGGTGGATTTGTTCTTTTGCGGGGTGATGTGGCCTGATATTAAGGAAGAGTATACCAAATTGCCTTATTGAGTTGTAGCATTTAACTGTACTTAACAGGTATAATTTCTTGTTGGGTATGAGTGGGGAATAATGACAAACTCAAGTAAAATGATAGATCAAACTGGCTTTTAAAAAATAATAGCATGCCTGTAATCCCAGCAATTTGGGATTCTGAGACATGAGGATTCCAAGTTCAAAGGTAGCCCCAGCAATTTAGCAAGGCCCTAAGCAACTTAGTAAGGTCCTGTCTCAAAAGAGCTGAGGATGTAACTCAAGGGTTAAGCACCCCAGGTTCAACCCCCAGTATCAAAAAAAGAGTTCTAGTAATTTTCTCTTGAATATATATAGAGAGAAAGAATTAAATTCCATAGACTTTCTAAGTGTGCATAAATCCCTGTATACTATGGAAGCGAAAGCTTTGGGTTTTGCAAAGCTACATGCTCATGAAGATAAATAGTCATGCAAATCATCTCCTGTATGGAATAGTTCTATAAGAAATATTCATAATTCATATTAACACATGTTCAACGAAAAGGACCCAGTCACTGTGCTTTCTACATTTACTATGTGGTGCCATTCGGATCAAGAAAGAATTATAGAGCTTAAGAGAAAAGAGTTAAAATAATCTAGGAGTGAAAGTGTAAAATTCAGCTGAAGCAATGAAGGCCTACTTGGTCTAGAACCACAAAAGTTTAAAAGGTGCTTAAAGAGTAACTTCTTTCTTTCTTTTTTGAAGTTATTCTTTTTTTTACATGACAAAGAGTAGCTTTTCTGATTCAGTCTCTGTTTCCTCACATGTAGGAAACTGCATTTCACATGGGGTGGGAGGCATTGTTGCCCTTAAGATGGCAGAGGATTGGGATAGAAGAGAGAGGAGGAAGTTGATTTTTTTTCTGTAAAAGATTTTTGACCTACTGGAGGGGGAAAAAAAGGATTTTAGGTTTAGAAAGGCATTGCTTTACCCTTTATAAAAGAATAGAGTTGTGTTCTAATTAAGAAAGTATAACATTTGCTATATTTAGAAATCTTTGTTCTTACTAGTTTTGTTCCCTAATTTTTGTTTTAGATTGCACAGGACAATTTACATCTTACACACTTTAAGTATATAGTGATATTAAATACCTCCATAATTGCAGCCATCACCACCATTCATCAGCATGACTTTTCGTCTTTGTAATGGAGTGCTGGGGCTGGGAATGTAGCTCAGCCTGGAGTGCTGGTCTAATGTGTGAGGCCCTGGGTTTGATCCCCAACTCTGGGGTGGGGGGAACTCCAAACTGGAAATATCCATTAAAACTTTACCATTCTATTCTCCTCCCCAGTCTCTGGTAACTACTATTTTACTTTCTCCATGATACTTACTTTAAATTTTTAATTAATTTTTGAAATTACAGATCCACAAAGGGAAATGTGGCTATGTTAGATAATGACCTCAAGAGCTTTTTGATTGCACACCTTCATTGTTAAAAAAAAAAATTTAAACTTTCCCCCATAAACATACCACTATGCTAATATGTAAATAATATCTACAATGACATGGTAAAGATTTATATGTTTTTTAAATCTTAAAATATTTTGCTAATTATAATACTTCATACAATCAGTAGCTAATACCTTGATCAAATATACTTAGGGCAATAATGGATATAAATTGATTTTTCAAATCCTGGTGAGTTTTAGTGGGAAGAAATGACATTAAATTATCAGATATGATTATTCTTTTTAATTCCTAATGAAGCTGGTAAAGGAGTAGAGTGTATTTCCTTCATAGTATAATACGTGAGTTCTTTAACTTACTTATATGTATAGTTATGTCACAATAAGCTTAAAGGGAACAAGCAAATGAAGAGAGTAGTAGTAGAATGCCTGTCATCCTACATGCAGTGACATCCCCAGTCTTCTCTCAGCTTCCATCCCACACACTTGATTGCAGTCATCTGCGATAAAGATGGGTGTGTGTTGGTTTCATTCGGTGTATAAAATACTAGTAACAATTCTAAATACATGAAAATAAGTCATTTTCCTCCCACATCTAAATATGTTGTTTTGCACACACATCACTCACAATGTACAAACCCCATTTGGAGAAACTTAGGATATATTCTGTAATCCTTTTAGATTGTTTTTTCCCCAATTTTATTCAGGAATAAATAAAAATAACTTAAAAATAAATAATTGGGGCTGGGGTTATAGCTCAATGGTAGAGCGCTCACCTTGTAAATGAGAGACCCTGGGTTTGATCCTCAGCTCCACATAAAAAAATAAATAAACAAAATAAAGATATTATGTCCATGTATACCTAATAAATAAATAAATAAATAAATGGTGTTTTGATACATACGTGTACATTGTGAAATAATTACCACAATCATGCTAATTACTATATCACCTCTTATAATTATTGTGTGTGTTGAAAACATTTAAGATGTGCCCTCCTAGCAATTTTTTAAAATAATTTTTTATACCTTTATTTTATTTATTTTTATGTGGTTCCAAGGATTGAACCCAGGACCTTGAATGTGGTAGGTGAGCACTCCACCATTGTTGAGTCACAATTCCAGCCCCCTCCTAGCAATTTCAAGTATACGATACAATTATTGACTGCTAACACTCAACATGTACATTGGATCTCCAGGGTTTATTCATCCTACAAAACTGAAACTTTGTACTTGTCTACCAATATTTCCCTGTTTCTCTTATCCTCCCAACTCAGATAACCACCATTCTGCTTCTATGTGGTTTGCCTTTTTGTAGATTCCATATGCAAGATCATGCAGTATATGACTTCCCTGTGTGCCATTAGGTTATTTCACTTAATGTAATAGTCCTCTGTGACATATATGTCAAAATGACAGAATTTCTCTCTTTTTAAGACTGTATAATATTCCATTATTAGTATATGGGTGTGCACACACACCACTTGTTTTATTTATCCATCGATGAGCACTTAGGGTTGATTCCATACGTTGGCTATCGTGGATTGTGCGTCAATGAACATGGGAATGCAGGTAATTCTTTAAGATA